ACCTCAAGTGATCCACCTGCCTCAGCCTCCCACAGTGCTGGGAGTATAGGCATGAGCCACCATGCCTGGCTGGTTTTGCCCTTTTGAGGGACAAAAGCGCTGCACCCCCAAGTCATACCGGAGAGCGTTAAAGATGAGAATGAAGCTGACTTTTCCAAGGTTTCCCACAAGCAGCAGGAATTCAACCTGGGTTGGTTTGATTTCAAAACTCTTGCTCTCAAATGCTTTGAGTCAAGGGCTGACAGCAAGTTCCCGGGGGGTTCAGAGGTGGGACAGGTCCCCTCCCCAGGCTCCTCAGAGGTCAGGCACCGTGCCGCCTGGCACAGTGGGAGTGCAGGACATTGTTGATTGAATTGAATGGGTGGACTTGGGTCTTGTGGGTTGAGGCGGGTTTGGATGAAGATACCCAGGTGGGCAGAGAGTTGAGCAGAGTGTGGGAGTGGGGCATGGTGGGGCTGTATGCAGAACCCACAAGAACAGAGTTTGGGAAGCCGGGGTCATGCTGGGGAGGGGGAGCCAGGACCCAAAGGCCATCCTTCTCAGCCCGGGGACCTGAGTGTGTCCTTTTCTGGGACAAGTGGCTGTTTCCGAAGAGGAATGGGCTGGGGGGAGGGGCTCCTTGTCAGGAACTGACTTCCCCACCAACATGAGGGCCCCTGTGGGTTTTTTGTCTGTATTTTGTGTGGTTTGTCCTCCTCACCCAGAAACACAACAGACTTGGTGAAAGGTAGGATTCGGTGGCCGTGGAGGTGGGTGTCATTCACACTTCAAAATGCACGGGTGTGATTCTGCTGAGAAAGCAAAAAATACAATGAGAAAGGAAAAAAAAATGAGCAGGTGGCTTTGTTCTGCTCGCAGCAGGGTTGTTGAGCCACGTGAGATGGATGCCCAGACAGTCCTGCTCCAAACCCTAGACAGGCCCCAAATCCCCCCCGTCCCCAAGCTGCCCCCATAGCCCCCAAGTCCAAGCCCTCGCTCTGCTGTTCTCCCACCTGGAGTGAGCTGAGCCTTCCGCGTGGAGCATCCTGAATGCCCACCTCTGCCGAGTCCCTGAGGCTTAGATTCTGTGGCCACGCAACTGAATACCACTGTGGCCCAGGTGACATCTTGGTCCCCCAGGGCTCTGGAAGCACCTGCAAGCTGGGGAGGGGCTGGAACTCCAGGGCCTGGAAGCTTCCTTCCCGCCCCACCTCTGCACCCATCTGGGGGCCACTAGAGCCTTTGTCTCAAAGCCCTGCCCCAGTTCACTTTCTTAGGACCCTGAGCAAGACAACTGTGCTAAGGACATCACTGTCACAAGAAATACCTGTGACTCAAAACGACATCCTATGGCTCCGTCCTCAAAGGCACAGCGGGGTGGAGCAAGGGCGTTCCCGAAAGCGTCTGAGGAGGCTGGGGAAGGAAAGAGGTTTGGGAGGGAGCTGCCGTCCGTGGAGTCAGACACCGTCGTGCAGAAGCAGAACTCAGCGAGTGACTCAGGGAGCCGTCAGGCCAGTGTCCGCGGGGCTTTCCACCTCTGACCTTGACTCACGCACAGGTGGCGCTGGGGGAGGCGGGCTGGGCTGATCATGACCTGAAAGCCCAGAATTGCTGGGGTCCACAGGCTGCTCTGCAGACACGTTGCTAGGGGACTCCAGGGACGCACTTAGGGCACCTTCCCCATGGGACCAGCTGGGCAGGGCCCAGGCGTCTGCAGAGCTGAAACCCCCTGTGCACGGGGTGGAGGGCTCGGGCCTCTTCTGGGTCTGCTGTTGAAGGATGTGGGATCTCTCATCGGTCTCCTCACTTTTCAGATAGGAAGAGGGAGAACGGGAGTGATTGGCGAATCCTGAGAACCAGGCCTGTTCGCTTGGTCCGCGGTTTTGGGCCCCTCCCCTGCCCCCACCCCACACCACGCCCCGCTTTCTCCTGTCTGCACCAGCTGACTTTCTGATTCTTGGAGATCTTGTGTTTGGGCCTTTTCTGGGAATCTCCAACGTCACGAAGTCAGTTTACATCAGACTGAAACCTAAATACAAATCTGTTCTAATGGTCAATGCAAGTTTTGTTTTTCACCCTGCCATGATTTGGAATTCAAAAAAATATATATCAAAAGGAGAGGATGGGTGCGGTGGCTCATGCCTGTAATCCCAGCACTCTGGGAGGCTGAAGTGGGCAGACCACCTGAGGTCAGGAGTTCAAGACCAGCCTGGCCAACATGGTGAAACCTGGCCTCTGCTAAAAATACAAAAAAATTAGCCGGGCATGGTGGTGGTGGCACCTGTGATCCCAGCTATTCGGGAGGCTGAGGCAGGAGAATTGCTTGGACCCGGGAGGCGGAGATTGCAGTGAGCCGAGATTGCGCCACTGCACTCCAGCCTGGGTGACAGAGTGAGACTCTTGTCTCAAAAAAAAAGACAAAACCAAGTGTGGACAAGGATGTGGAAAAACGAGAGCCTTCATAGATTGCTGGTGGGAATGAAAAATGATGTAGCAACTTTGGAAAACAGTTGGGCAGTTTCTCTGAAAGCCTAGACATGGGCCGGGCATGGGGGCTCACACCTGTCATTCCAGCACTTTGGGAGGCCGAGGCAGGCAGATCACCTGAGGTCAGGAGTTTAAGACCAGCCTGGTGAACATGGTGAAACCCCGTCTCTACTAAAAATACAAAAATTAGCAGGGTGTGGTGATGCACTCGCCTGTAATCCCAGCTACTTGGGAGGCTGAGGCAGGAGAATCGCTTGAAGATGGGAAGCAGAGGTTGTAGTAAGCCTAGATCACACCATTAACCCCAGCCTGGGCGACAAGAGTGAAACTCTGTCTTTAAAAAAAAAAAAAAAAAGGCCGGGTGCGGTGGCTCAAGCCTGTAATCCCAGCACTTTGGGAGGCCGAGACGGGCGGATCACGAGGTCAGGAGATCGAGACCATCCTGGCTAACATGGTGAAACCCCGTCTCTACTAAAAAAATACAAAAACAAACTAGCCGGGCGAGGTGGCGGGCGCCTGTAGTCCCAGCTACTCGGGAGGCTGAGGCGGGAGAATGGCGTGAACCCGGGAGGCGGAGCTTGCAGTGAGCTGAGATCCGGCCACCACACTCCAGCCTGGGCGACAGAGCGAGACTCCGTCTCAAAAAAAAAAAAAAATGAAGCCTAGACATGAACTTACCATACGCCCAGGAATTCTACTCCTAGGTATCCACCGAAGTGGGAAAAACGTCCACACAAAGACGCGTCTGAGAGTGCTCAGACCAACTTTCTCCGCAGTAACCCCGACTGAAAACAGCCCAGAGGTCCACCAGCAGATGAACGGAGAGATGAAGTGTGGTCCGTCCAAACAGCGCAACCGCACAGATGAAACGCTGAGACACACCGCAGCGTGGACGAAGCTCGAAAACCTTGTGCTAATTGAAAGAAGCCAGACACAAACGGACAATTGCTGTTTGGTTTATTTGTATGCAGTGTCCAGAACAGGCAAATCCACAGCGACAGAAAGCAGACGGGTGGCTGCCAGAGGCTGGGGAGGGCGCAGGGCAGGGGCCAGGAGTGACTGCTATACTTTTTTAGGAAGGGAACAGGAAGGTCCTAAAACTGGGTTGTGACGATGGCTGCACAACTCGGTCAATTCACTACAAATCTTTGAACTATGCACTTGACACGGGTGAATTTTTTTTTTTTTTTTTGAGACGGAGTCTCGCTCTGTCGCCCAGGCTGGAGTGCAGTGGCCAGATCTCAGCTCACTGCAAGCTCCACCTCCCAGGTTCACACCATTCTCCTGCCTCAGCCTCCTGAATAGCTGGGACTACAGGCGCCCGCCACCACGCCCGGCTAATTTTTTATATTTTCAGTACAGATGGAGTTTCACCATGTTAGCCAGGATGGTCTCGATCTCCTGACCTCGTGATCCGCCCACCTCGGCCTCCCAAAGTGCTGGGATTACAGGCGTGAGCCACCGCGCCTGGCCGAAACGGGTGAATTTTATGATAGGTAAACTTTACCTCAATAAGGTTTTGTTTTGTTTTGTTTTGTTTTTTGAGACAGGGTCTCACTCTGATTACCCTGGCTGGAGTGCATTGGCGCGATCTCGGCTCGCTGCAGACTCAACCTCCCAGGCCCAAGTGATTCTCCCACTTCAGCCTCCCGAGAAGCTGGGACTACAGGCACACACCACCACACCTGGCTAATTTTATTGTATTTTTTTTTTAGTAGGGACGGGGTTTTGCCGTATTAACTAGACTGGTCTCAAACTCCTGGACTCAAGCGATCCACTCACCTCTGCCTCCCAAAGTGTTAGGATTGCAAGCATAAGCCACTGCGCCAAGTCAATAAAGTTGTTTTAAAAGCATTGCCTGGGCCGGACACAGTTGCTCACGCCTGCACTTTGGGAGGCCAAGGCAGGTGGATCACTTGAGGTCAGGAGTTCGAGACCAGCCTCGCCAAGAGAGTGAAACCCCGTCTGTACTAAAAACACAAAAATTAGAGCTAGGCATGGTGGTGCACACCTATAGTCCCAGCTACTTGGGAGGGTAAGGCAGAAGAATCGCTTTATCCCAAAAGATGGAGGTTGCAGTGAGCTGAGATTGTACCACTACACTCCAGCATGAGCGACAGAGCAAGACTCCATCTAAAAAAGAAAAAAGAAATAAAAAATTTTCAGCCACGCACGGTAGTGTGTGCCTATAGTCCCAGCTACTCAGGAGGCTGATGTGTGAGGATCAGCTGAGCTCGGGAGGTGGAGGCTGCAGTGAGCGATGATTGGTGCTACTGCACTCCAGCCTGGGTGACAGTGTAAGATCCTGTCAGAAAGAGAGAAAGAGAGGAGAGAGAGGAGAGAGAGAGAGAGAGGAAGAAGGAAGGAAGGAAGAAGGAAGAAAGGGAGGGAGGGTGGGAGAGAACAGGAAAAGAAAGGAAGAAGGGAGGGAGGGAGGGAGGGAGGAAGGAAGGGGCCGGGTGTGGTGGCGGGCGCCTGTAATCCCAGCTACTCAGGAGGCTGAGGCACAAGAATTGCTTGAATCCAGGAGGCAGAGGTTGCAGTGAGCCAAGATCATGCCATTGCACTCCTGCCTGGGAGACAGAGTGAGACTCCATCTCAAAAAAAAAAGAAAAGAAAAGAAAGGAAGAAAGTGCAGGAAGTAAGAACTCCATGGTGATGGAAGAAACACGGGCTTGTGGGCCACCTTGACCCCAGGCTTGCTCTGTCCCTGCTCGCTCCCTGTCCACCACCCCAACCCCCAGGATGGAACGGGCACCCCTATGTGAGGACGCAGGTGTGCACAGCCAGGGCGGGTGGGGTGGCCTTTGTAGAATGTGCTGGGGGAGGGGGCGATGGCGGAACGTGGATGGGAGCACGCTCCTCTCGCTGGCCTCGGCCCCTGTGCAGCTTGGCCTCAGGGACAGTGCTCCAGACAGGGGCAGTTGGCCCTCTGCACAAATCCGCCTGCCAGTGCAGCATTGGCCAGCGTCAGGATGGCACCTGCTGGGAACTCTTTCCCAATGGCAAGGTTTGCAACTTCCCCGGGAACCAGCACCCGATCCCAGATAGCCAAGCCAGACATGCTCCCCACGAAGGCCTCGGAGCTGTCGAACCCGCCCCCCACGCTGTCTTGCTCCTGGCCCAGCACCAGGGACCCTCCGGGGGGGATCTCGTAGCCCTCCCTGAAGCGGGAGCCGGTGGCCACCAGCCTGCGATCCACGTGGAGCCAGTACCTGCCCTGAGTGGACGTCCAGATGACACAGATGTGGTGCCACTGGCCGTCCAGCAGCGGCTGCAGGGGCAATTCCCTGAAGGCCGGGTCCCCGATCACGAAGTGGATGGATCCGGGCAGCAGGGAGTCTCGGCCGTGCAGCACCAGCTTGTTGTCATTGTCCTCGGTGGCGTAGGACAGGAGGGTGCCCAGGTGGCCCGACGCCGTGCGGACCCAGCTGCAGAAGGACACGGCTCGCAGGGCAGTGACGAAGCCGGGGCTGAGGAAGACCACGTTCTTGGTGGAGGCGTTCGGAAAAACGAGGGTGGGGCCCACGCCGCAAACTAGAAACGGAGGAGGGAGGGGTCAGCTCCATGCAGGAGGCCGTGCAGACGCATCCAGAAGCACGTGTGCTGTGGGCGCCAGGCCTCCCGCTCCCGGCTGCCACCCTCCACGGAGCACTGACTCTGCACTGGTCCTGCCGATGGCTCCCCTGCAGCGTCTCCTTCACGCTCTTGATGGGATCACCCCAGTTCCACGGGTGGGAAGACTGAGCATGAGGGCCATACTCGGAAGTATGGGAGTATGGGAGCCCTAGCTGTCGGCCCACCCAGCTCAGCCAGCACCCCTCTCTGCCAGGGAGTCTCTGCAAATTTCTTTTTTATTTTTTTATTTTTTGAGACGGAGTCTCGCTCTGTGGCCCAGGCTGGAGTGCAGTGGCCGCATCTCAGCTCACTGCAAGCTCCGTCTCCCGGGTTCACGCCATTCTCCTGCCTCAGCCTCCCGAGTAGCTGGGACTACAGGCGCCCGCCACCTCGCCCGGCTAGTTTTTTGTATTTTTTAGTAGAGACGGGGTTTCACCGTGTTAGCCAGGATGGTCTCGATCTCCTGACCTCGTGATCCGCCCGTCTCGGCCTCCCAAAGTGCTGGGATTACAGGCTTGAGCCACTGCGCCCGGCTGAAATTTCATGACTCACAATAGCACAAGTTTAGAGTTTCACGTTTCTGAAGGTCACAAGGCCAACACGGTCTCCCAGGGCTGAAATCAGGTGTGGGCAGGGCTGGTTCCTCTGGAGGCTCAATGAGAAACCATCTCCTGCCCTTTCCAGCTTCCAGAGGCGCCTGCACCCCTTGGCGTGGGGCCCCCTCGTCTGTGCATCCCGCCATCTCTGCTTCCGCCCTCATGCCCTCCTCTGTGCTCCTCCTGCCTCCCCTTAGAAAGCCCCTGTGATGACAGTGGGCCCACCCGGATGATCCAAGACCCTCTCCCCATCTCCTGGCCCGTAACTGAATCTCTTTTGAGAAGGGGAGATTTTCCGGGGGGGCCTGGTCTAAGGAGGAGCTGGAGGGAAGCCTGGCCATCAACTGGGAGCCTGTGGTACTTACTCTCTCCTGGCCCCCGGGGGGACCATGCCTGCCGTGGAGGATCTTTTGGGGCCGTGGCAGTCCCATTGAGTACCCGATGGCTGCCTGAGCCTGGGGGCTCCCGAGTCCCCTGGAGAGGGGCCGAGGAGTCCTGCCGGGGGCCCCTGTGCTCGCATGCAGCTTGGAGCTCCTGCCTGTCCCTCTGAAGCTTCAGGGAGCTCGGGCCCAGCAGACCAGGCTGGGTTGGGGCTGGGACCAGGGCCGGCCCCAAGGCTGTGATGCCAGGGTGGGCCACGGGCAGCCACCCCTCCAGAGCAGCCAGCCTGGCGCCCTGGCTGTGGACGAGGCCCTCCAGGCGTGCCAGTGAGTCCTGCAGGGCGTCCCCCTGAGCCTCGTGCGCCTTCCTCTCCCGGGCCTGCTGCTGGCTCCTCTCGCCCAGGGCGAGGTCCAAGGCCCGCAGCCGCATGTCTATCTTCCGGCTTCGGCGCTGCAGCTTCCTCACCCAGGCCTTGAGCTGCACCAGCTCCCCCTGCACCACGGCCTGTGACTGGTTGACCGCCTGAGCCACGGCCTGGCTCTCTTCCGCCAGGCTGCGGAACCGGACATCGACGTTGTAGGACACGTTGTAGTTGCTGGCGACGCTCTGCAGGTGCGTCAAGGTCACTGCCTGGAATCTCCGGAACTGTAAGGAGGACACAGTGATGATGGTCCGGGCCGGCTGGGAGGGATGGGAAAGGCTTTGCCCTCTCACGCTGGGAGCAGCAGCTGCGTGCCCGGCCCACAGTCAGCACTATCTGCCCACTGATCTGATCCCCACTGTGATGCCGTGAGATGTCGTGGGTGCCAGGGACCGACCCCAGGCCATGCAGCTGCACCACGTGGGGCGTGGACTCCAGGCCCATAGCCGGGGCTCTGATCCCCGCCCCTCGCCCCATAACAACCGGCAAGTCACTTCCCCCCGTGACCCCAGCTCCTGCCTGTGAGCGGCGGACGGCAGGGTGGCCTCATGAGTGCTTTACGAGGCCCAAACAGGAAGCACCCGGCGCAGGCCCGCCAGGCACCAAGCACTCCGGAACTGTCCGAGGACCCTGCGTGGGAGTCCGGGAGGCCGTCCACACCCTCTGCCTCAAGGTGGACCTGTGACCTCCCACTTTCCACTCCCTATGACACTGCCTGGCTCCCATGGCCCCCAGTTACCCCGACTCGCTTCCAGACCCCCTTCTAGCCTCTGGCCCCACCTGACCCCCACGTGATAAGAGGCTTTTGCGTCCGGTGTGAGCGGAGCCCAGCTCCTGACCCCCACACGTTATGAGGCTTGTGTCTGGTGTGAACCCAGCTCAGCTTTTCCCTGGTGTCCAACTGCAGGTGAAATAATGTTCACGGATGGAAAGAGCGTCACACGCCACGTCCGCGTCCGCCAAGCCCTGATGTTTACCGCTCTGTTTCTGTAACATCCGTCTTCCAGCTGCTGCCAATTTAAAAACCCGACTGCGCCACGTCAGGGGAATACTTGCCTGCTCCTCCAGTCTACGGAGCCTCTCGAAAAACGGTTTCCTGGGCCCCGCTGGGGCGGCTTCTTGCGATGAAGCCTCATGTAGATATATAGTCACAAAACCAAGAAAGACAGACAAGGTCTTTCTCCACAAGCAACCCATCCGGAGAGACGGCGAGGCCCCAGCAGTCTCCCTCCCGGCCGCAGGAGAGGGTGGAGGTGGCGCTGTGGGTCTGTCTCGTGTCTTGTCCCCCAGCTCTCCCGCTGAGTGGTTTTCCTTCTTTGGCCCTGGCTGGATGTCAGCTTCTTCCTGCCGCCTCCATGAAAGGCATTTGCCTTCAAGCCAGTGGGCTCTGAGAATTGCAGGTTCCCAAGGAGACAGGCTTAAAACAGATGCAAACAGTTTCTTTGAAGAATCAATTCAGCTGGGTGCAAGCCCGCGGGCAGGAGGCGATGGCTTTAACAGCAGCACATGGACTTGTGCTCCCACGAAGTCGAAGCATGACAGGGAACCCGACGGGGGCCGGGGAGTCAACACAGCCAGGTCTGCACGGGCACCCGTCACCCAGGCTGTGCACGGCTGCATCCTGGGAGGCCCCACCTCTCTCAGTAAAGCAATGGAAATATGACTGGCTGCCACCTTAATTAATTATTATTATTATAATTATTTGAGATGGAGTCTCGTTCTGTCACCCAGGCTAGAGTGCAATGGTGCAATCTCAACTCACTGCAACCTCCGCCTCCCGGGCTCAAGCTATTCTCCTGCCTCAGCCTCCTGCCTCCCGAGTAGCTAGAATTACAGGCACGCTCCACCACGCCCAGCTAGTTTTTGTATTTTTAGCAGAGACATGGTTTCACCATGTTGGTCAGGCTGGTCTCAAACTTCTGACCTCATGATCTGCCTGCCTCAGCCTCCCAAAGTGTTGGGATTACAGGCGTGAGCCACGGCACCTGGCCAGTTAATTAATTTTTTTGAGACGCAGTCTCGCTCTGTCACCCAGGCTGGAGTGCAGGGCACGACCCCGGTTCACCACAACCTCTGCCTCCTGGGTTCAAGGGATTCTCCTGCCTCAGCCTCCCAAGTAGCTGGGATTACAGGTGTGTGCCGCCACACCCGGGTAATTTTTGTATTTTTAGTAGAGATGGGGTTTCGCCACGTGGGCCAGGCTGGTCTCAAACTCCTGACCTCAGGTGATCCACCCGCTGTGGCCTCCCGAAGTGCTGGGATTACAGGCGTGAGCCACCGCACCTGGCCAATTTTTGTAGCGGAGACAGGGGTGCCCCACGTGGGCCAGGCTGGTCTTTTTGGTTACAGGTTGCGTACTGGCTTGGATGAGACCCAGGCAGACCTTACGTGTGGAAAAGGCTTTCTGCAGATGTCACGAAGGATTCTGAGATGAGACTATCCAGGTGGCCCTAAGGCCGATGACAGGAGTCTTTATAAGAGACAGAGGAGGAGGCACAGAGGACATGGCCTGTGAAGACGGGGCAGAGACTGGGGTGACGCTGCCACGAGGAGCCCCCAGAAGCTGGGAGAGGTGAAGTGGGACACCGGCCCCTCCAGAGCCTTCGAGGGAGTGTGCACCTTGACTTCAGACTTCCAGCCCCCAGAACTGTGATAGGATTCATTTCCTTGTTTCAAGCCACCCAGCTCATGGGAATAAGATCATCCACGAAGTTGTCCCAGTGAGGGCACCCATCATTCCCAAGGTGGCATGAGCCCAGCGGGTGCCAGGTCAGGGAACCATTGGTGGTCCTCAGGCTCCCCTTGTCAAGTGTCAGAACACCATGGACACGGAGAAGATGCAAAAAGCATGGAGAGAAAATCGTGGGCATGTGGACGGGGTTGGGACCTTAGGCCCCGGGGGACTGGTGGCCACCATGACAGCCACGCTGGTGCCACATGCAGAGCGGCGGATCTTGCAGCTTCCAACTGAAAATAAGTTCCATTTATTTATGTATTTATTTTATTGCAGTAGAGACGGCGTCTTGCTGTGTTACCAGGCTGTTCTCAAACACTCCTGGGCTCAAGCGATCCTCCCACCCCAGCCTAGCCAAAGTGCTGGGTTTACTGGCATGAGCCACTGAGCCAACTTGATTTCCATTTAAAGTCGTGGGTCGAGGCCGGGTGCGATGGCTCTCACCTGTAATCCCAGCACTTTGGGAGGCCAAAGTGGGCAGATCACTTGAGTCCAGGGGTTCGAGACCAGGCTGGGCAACATGGCAAAACCCCGTCTCTACTAAAATTACAAAAATTAGCCAGGCGTGGTGGTGTGCACCTGTAGTCCCAGCTACTTGGGAGGCTTAGGCGGGATGATCGCCTGAGCCCGAGAGATGGAGGTTGCAGTGAGCTGAAATCGCACCACTACACTCCAGGCTGGATGACAGAGCAAAGAATAAAGACATTTTCAGATACACAAAGGCTTGAGAAATTTGTCTTCCATGCACCCACTGTTGGATGCGGAGCTTCAGGAAAAGACGAAGCCGCCATGGGCACTGGTGAGGGCTGGAACCCAGCAGCGGATGGAGGAGTAGTTTCCGGGATGGTGGGATGCTGCCCGCCCCACATCCCATCCATCGGCTCTGCCTGCAGACACATGCCCTGAGTCTCAGCTGCTTCTCCACACTCCCACTCCGCCCCAAGCCCATCCCCACGATGGCCACCTGCTCCCCGCGTCCGTGTACCAGCATGGACCCGTGCCTTCAATGCCTCTAGGAGTTGCCTGCCACACGAGCAAAATCTTCAGTCCCTGCTAGGGCCTTCTGTGGCCTGGCCCACGGCCTCTCTCCCTCCAGGCCTCACCCCTCCATCTGCCTCCCTCGGCTCCACCTCCCGGGCCACAGTTGTGGCCTCAGGCATTCGCACCTGCCGTTTTCCTGCCAGTGAGACTCCTTCCCTGGCTGTCACCACATTCGGGGCTCTGCTGTAAGGTCTTCTGTTCAGAGCTCTCACCGTATTTAAGACAGCACCGACTGCTCTCTGGCTCTTCTTTTCTTTTTTTTTTTGGAGGAGTCGCTCTCTGTCACCCAGGCTGGAGTTCAATGGCACGATCTCTGCTCACTGCAACCTCTGCCTCCTGGGTTCAAGCGATTTTCCTGCCTCAGTGTCCCAAGTAGCTGGGATCACAGGTGCATGCCACCATGCTCAGCTAATTTATTTTTCTTTGGAGACGGAGTCTTGCTCTGTCGCCCAGGCTGGAGTGCAGTGGCACGATCTCGGCTCACTGCAAGCTCCGCCTCCTGGGTTTGCGCCATTCTCCTGCCTCAGCCTCCTGAGTAGCTGGGACTACAAGCGCCCACCACTACACCCAGCTAATTTTTTTTTGTATTTTTAGTAGAGACGAGATTTCACCATGTTAGCCAGGATGGTCTTGATCTCCTGACCTCGTGATCCACCCATCTCAGTCTCCCTAAGTGCTGGGATTAGAGGTGTGAGCCACTGCGCCCTGCCACTGGCTCTTATTTTCTTACCCTGCCGATTTTTTATTTTCTTTCCTTTTATTTTTGAAACAGGGTCTTGCTCTGTTGTCCAGGCTGTAGTGCAGTGGCAGTGAACATGGCTCACTGCAGCCTCAACCTCCCGGGCTCAAGCTATCCTCCCACCTCAGCCTCCCTAGTAGCTGAGACCACAGCCACATGACCCTGTGCCTGGCTAATTTTTAAATTTATTGTAGAGACAGGGTCTCACTATTTTGCCCAGTCTTGAACTTCTGGGTCCAAATGATTCTCCCACCTCAGCTTCCCAGTGTTGGCATTACTGGCGTGAGCCGCTGGGCCTGGCCTCTGCCAGTTTTTCTGCCTCCAGGCCTGTCACCTAGCATATTTCGTATGTACCTTATTTGTTTCCCCTGATAGGTGAGCAGGAACTTTGCATCATTTGTTGCTCAGAGGGCTTGGTGCACCAAGCAGGCATTTAATCAATATTTGTTGAACAAACGGATAACTGTTTCCCAGCTTTTCCCACATCCATCGCTGCTGAAATGGTGCCTCCTTAGCCTGTCTTCCTGGATTGCCCCCCTCCACAAAGATGAGGCTCCCCAACACTCTGGTGCAGTTTACAGAAGGCACTGCATGTTGTAAACGTTCAGTGTCCGGCTGGCCAGGCTGGCGGCCACAGCCACAGGTAGTACGGAGCCCTTGAGATGGGGCTAGGGCCAGTAAGGAACTGGACTTATGGCCGGGTGAGGTGGCTCACGCCTGTAATCCCATCACTTTGGGAGGCCGAGACCGGTGGATCAAGAGGTCAGGAGATCGAGACCATCCTGGCTAACACAGTGAAACCCCGTTTCTACTAAAAAATACAAAAAATTAGCCAGGCGCGGTGGCGGGTGCCTGTAGCCCCAGCTACTCGGGAGGCTGAGGCAGGAGAATGGCGTGAACCCCGGAGGCGGAGCTTGCAGTGAGCCAAGACTGCGCCACTGCACTCCAGCCTGGGCGACACAGCCAGACTCTGTCGCAAAAAAAAAAAAAAAAAAAAAAAGGAACTGGACTTACTTAACTTCGGTTAATTTACAGACCCACATGTGTCCAGCGCTTACCTACTGGTCGCAGTTTTAATTCCACGAACTGGCCTCATTTACGGAACCGCATTTGTTCGTATCTGACGTGATCTCAATCGTTCTTTTACTTCCTTGTGCTCCGTGTTTCTCTTACTGGCCTCTGACCCTTGGAAGCAGGGCCTTACACTCGGAGAAGAGGAGCCAGGCCTGTTGGTAAACATCTGCCGTAGAGCGAACGCTCGGCGTTCTGAGACAATGTGGGACCCGGGGCGGAGGGAAGGGACGGCTGACATCACTCCAGGGTAGGGAGGACAGGGATGGGAGAAACTGAGGCGAGGACCGACCACCCTGGCGCAGCGAACCCAGCACGCAGCCACGTGGGGAGGCGCGGCCCCGCCCTCAGGCCCCGCCCAACGCAAAGCCCCACCCACGCGTCAGGCCCCGCCCGTCCCACCGGCCCCGCCCCATCCAGGCTCCGCCCCGTCCCGGCGCAGCGCAGGCGCAGATGCGCCCTCCCGCTCGGCGTCCTCCGCAGATTCGTGCTGCGAGGCCCGCAGGGACCCGCCCTAGAGGCTCAAAAAAACCCGCGGCAGCTTCGCCCGGACCCAGGAGCTCGTGCTCTGGGCCAACCGACTGGGCCGCGATCGCGTTTCGTCCGGGGCCGCGGCGGCCGTGGGGAATCGGCGGCAGCGAATCGGTGGCGCGCGGGGCCTGAGCGCGCTGCAGTCACCCGGGAGCCGGGTCCAGGTCGGGTTGGAGGTCGGGGGTCGGGGATCGGGGGTCGGGGGTCGGGTTGGGTCGGGTTGGGCTCCGGGTCTGGTTGGGTCGGTTCCAGGTCGGGGAGGAGTCCGGTCAGGGTCCGGGCCCGGGTCGGGGGCGGGGTCCGCGTGCGGGTCCTCTAACCCCGAACCCGTGTTCCCCGTAAGCTGTTGGTTTCCAAGGGGCGGAGGAATGGCGACAGGAGCCACCCGTCACCGCTCAGGCAGCCAGAAGGGCCGGCAGCTCCCATGGGCCGGGTTTCCCGCCTTGGGTGCGAGGACGCGTGCGGCCGCCCTGTGCCCGGGGAACACTCACCAGCATCCCTGGCCTCCACCTCCCTGTCGCGCCAGTGGCACTCCCGCTTGTGACAACCGAATGTCCCCTGGGCACAGTGGCCCGGGTTGAGAAGCCCTGCAGTGGGCGGTAGCGGGGGGGTCCCAGCGGAGGAGCTAACT